TGGTCTGAGACACTGGGTATGGCTTCAGCATATATGGGACCTCAAAGACCGCCTCCACAGTGACACACTTCCTCCAACATGGCCACACCCACTACAACAAAGCTACATCTCCTAATAATGTCTCTCACTTTGGGGACCATTTTCTTTCAAATCACCACATACTGGATACACATTGTTTATCAAGCAAAGGAGAGTTTATATAGCTTCACATTATTCTATGCCAATATCTAATGCAAGATATCATTCTCTAGCATTTGGTTATGTTACATTATCTGTATCAATAGTACTACATAACATAAAGTTGCAGTCATGTCAAAAATACAGAGAATTTTTGCTAGTAGGCTGGCTTAGCTATTAAACAATGTTTATTAACAGACTGAATGAAAAAAGAAAAAAGTTTTTCATTTCATTTTTTTTTATTTTTGTAACTCCCCTTCCCCTCCCACAACCTAATATTTTTCTTAATTATTCAAACAGTGCGCTTTGACCACACTTGCTTGCCATTCCTCCCAGGTCCACCTTTGTACCCGCCTATCAAAAAAAAAAAAAAAACAAAAAACAAAAAACAAAAGAAAGAAAAGAAAGGAGAAAACAAGCATCAAGTCCAATTTGTGTTGCCCTTGAACTCACTGGAGCATAGACAAACTTCCAGTGGCCAGCCCCTTAGAGAAAACTGAGTCCTTCCCCACTCCCACCCCTGCCAGAGCCATTAGCTGTGAAGAGCTACTCTTCAGGATTCCTGTCACAAATTTTAAGAGTTCTCTTCAATGGCTTGCTGTCTAAGCTGTGTGTGTGTGTGTGTGTGTGTGTGTGTGTGTGTGTGTGTGTGTGTGTGTAAGGGTGATGAAGAGAGGTTGTCACAGAAGCCTTCTAGGTTTCTCATTCTCAACTGTGAGTCTGCAGTCATCAACACCACCTCTGCAAAAGAAGTTTCCTTGCCTTTTATAATCAGTGACAGCAGGGTCATAGGACTTCTACATAGTTTTTGGCGACATCATGGACATCCACGTGGTCTGCAACATCAACATGGACCATGGATCTCAGCGCAGTCTCTGGTGGCAGTACACACCACATACATCAACACAGCTCTTGGCTTTAGCATGGACCATGGGCATCCTGAACCTTGGGCAATAACATGGCCTGAGGTGACAGCACAGACCATGGACACAAGCATTTCCCCTGACTGTAACATAGACCACAGATACCAACATGGCCTCCAGGGACAGCATGAACCATGCAGGTCTTTTGAAGAGGCCCAGTCTAGAAAACGAACAATTCTCCATCTCGGACGTTCTGTTGCTGCTCAGAGCCAGGGAAATCATGTATCTGGGCAGTGTGTTTGAGTCAGAGTCCGCAAGAGATCCACTCTGCTGTACATCACTCTGTCTACCCTACTTGGCAAGGACATGTTCCCCCACTCATTGCTGCCTCCTCCCACACCTGTTACCATCAAGTTTCTTGTTCTGCTTCTCTACGCTACACATGCCTCTCTGTTCCTCCATCTTTCCTTATCTCTCCGTCGTGTGTTTGTCAAAGTTTGACATTGCAGACTATACTGTCTCACACCCAATGTATGTGTGTGTGTGTGCACGCACGCATTTGTGTGAGCGTGTATGTATTTCCCAAATAACATATGCAAATATTAGTTGTACCAAAGCATTAGTCTGGTTCAAGGTTTCTGGTACCCAAAGTAGCACAAATACTGGACCATTGCTATGACTTGTCTTGAATATCCTGCTGTTGTTCAGAATCAGGGTGATGATGTGGGTAGGCAGGGTGTCCCTGGCAGGTTCTGTGAGAACTCCTGGATGCTGTGCACCTCCCTGCCCTCCATGGGTAGCCACAGTGGCTCTATGTTGCAAGTCAGCTGGCCGGCCTAGGACAGGACCTGTTTAGTAATGACATGTTTCTGAGGAAACTCCAGGCCACCACACTAACTTGTGCTGGGTGCCCACTACCCGAGGCCCACTCGGCATGACTGTTAAGCTTGTGGGCTGTAGGCAGTGCTGCTATCCTGCATTTTCTATCTTCCAGCAGGGCAAGAAAAGGCTCCAGGCACAAAGGCTCTGAGCTGGAAGCTGGTCAGTAAGCCTAGGGTCCACCCTGTTCAGTAATGCCATGCTCTTTGTCGGCTGTGGCTAAGCTCTCCAATGTTTCTTCTGTACCCTTGTGCTGCTGTCTGCCATCTTCCTTTCCGGTTTCACGAGTCTACTTTTTAAAAGCATTTCCCATTAGACCTACTTTTCCTTAGTTGTTCTGGAGATACTGTGGGCTCTGCAGACCCTTCCTCACAGCAAGGCAGTGCTGTGGCTCTTCCACAGCTGCTCATAGCTGATGGCAAGGTCACCAGCTTGGTGGCAGTATCTCATATGTGCACTGAGTCCCACATGGCCGCTGAAGGTTGTCGGCTGTGGCCTGATGTAGATTCTCACCGATAGCTTTAATAGCAGCAGTGGCCTCTTCAGGGTGAAGGGGGCCTGGTGGTGGCTCAAGCTTCCTGGTGGCCTGAGGCCTGGCCCTACTAGGTAACGACATGCTCTTTTGCCTTCTTTGTCTGCCCCAGCCATGCTCCCCTACCTGCCATTGCTCTTGGCCTCTAGATGCTCTTCCCTCAACCACATGCCCTGCTCTGTTCTTCCTGAGATTTACATTTCTATTTCTATATCTTAACTTTTCAGGGAGTAAAAGCATAGTCTTGCCTAAAAAGTGCAATTATCTTTTTCATGCTGCTGAAGTTACACAGTGTTGGTGACCTAGACAACAGAGATTTTTTTTTTAGTCACAGTACTGAAGGACAGAGGCACAAGGTATCAGCTGGTTGACTCACTCTAAGGCTGCAACAGAGAATATATTCTTGGCATTGCCCCTTCCTGGAGGCTGTTTGGCAATCTTTGGTGATTTTGGCTTGTAGTTGTGTTACCCTGATCTGTGCCTTCATCTTCACACACTTTCCCTTCATGTGCATGTTTGTTTCTGTGTCCAAATTTCCTTACTTATAAGCATATAAGTGATATCGGAATAGAAACCACTCTTATAACTTCATCTGAATTTGATCATTTGCAAAAGCTCTGTTTCCACCTAAGGTCATGTTCACAGGAACTAGAGGTTAGGGCATCATGATCTTTTGAGAGAACCAAGTTAAACTCATTAACAGTACATAATGTTTCTGAGATAGTATACTTGAGAACTCGTTAGGAGTGGTTTTATATATAAGTTTGAAGTTTGTCAGAACATTGCTATAATTATATGAGTGTATACCAATTGATGAGTCACACATGAATATTGGTTTTTGAGACAGGACTTGTCTGTTCTTACAAGAACTCTATATACACATAATTTAAATGAATATTTCTCCACTTGGACTGACAATTTCACCAGGAGCCATAGACTATTAAAAACCCCAACAGCAGGTATGAGAATCCCTCTTTTGAATTGTTGGTCAGTGTTGTCCTTGGTTACTCCCTAAGGCAGAAAGTAAATCTCTATTGTTTAAGACATCAAACATTTCAGACATAGGACCAGAGGATCCAAGCTGCCTGAAACCTCAAAGTCTTTTTCCTGAGGACTAGCCTGCATGGTATCAGAAAGTGTTACACATTCTTCCACAGGAAGAATGCAAACAACAGTCCTATATACCAAGCTATAACACTTAGAGTCATAACAATGACCAGAATTGCGTGCTAACCCTAAGGGCACTGTATTAGCATGTATATCTTCTCGGTAAGCAACTCTCTCTAATTGGATTGAAGGCCCACTCATTAAGAGGGAAAGCTAGCCAACTACTTAGGGCTAGTGAAATCATAGATCTTGGAGGAGAACCTATAACTGCCACTTTACTTAACTAGCATAATCCCTAACTTGAGTCTAAATATTTGTCCTTATGCCCATAGGTAAGAGTAATTCTTGTCCCATATCAAGACAACTCTGCAGCATATGGAGACCATTACAGAAAACCACAAACAATCAAAATACAGAGTTGTGGAGATTAGTCTCAAGTGATTCATCTACAATGCAACTCTTACATTTATTATTTGTACTATATCTTTAACCAGAAAAGCATGACCACAGCTCAAAAACAAGCATTATTAATATTTCTGAATCATCATATACTTGTCAAGTTCTTGACACATTTTCATTGAAGATTATATTTCATACAGTTTTCCAAAATAAGTTAGATTCCATAGCATTGTAAATATGTATCTGAACTTAAGATCCATTGGGTAAGAAACGTGATGGTCATTAGTCTTACTATTTCCAAGCATGATTAGGTTGAGCTCTTTGCCATCAGTCTTGTCCCCCTTACCTACAGGCTGCTGCCAAGACATCTTTAATGATCACATTGTTCTCCTTACTTAATTTCTCTATGAGGACAGAGGTCTAGGTTTTTGGTCTTTTGGGCATTTCCACAATCCTTCTCATGCCTTTCTCATCCCATCTTCTACTTTCCCCTGAGGTACTGATGTTTGCAGAGTGCTGTGTAGTCTTTTTTACCGCCACACATTTTCACTTCTTCCTCCACCGGAAAGGCTTTTTGTTTTACCTCTTCCTCTTTCCAGTCAGCATTTTCTCAGCATTTGTCTCAAGTGAAGACTGGCAAGCCAGATTTTCTTTCTTTTAATATGTGCAGTGTTATGTTTAAAACTTATCTTAGAACTTTATAATATAGAATTTTGTTTTCATATTTTTCATTCTTAGTAGACTTAAAAATAATGTTTTTAATTTATTCTTTAATAAAACATGCATACAATATACTTTGATCACACAGATTCTTTTGTTTAGTGCTCTGCCAGATATTACAGAAACTGGAAACCAAATAAAGAGCCATCTTCAGTTTGTAGCCTAGTAGAGGACTTCCAGTTTCAATGACTAGGAGGATGGTAGAGAGGGACATTGTGAAGACTTCAGTGATAAAGAGATTATACTTGAAAAACCTTTAATCATGAAATTGTGACTGAACATGTTCTTACAGTGCTTTAAAGCTAACAAAATTTATTTGTTTACAGGTGGCTATGGATTTTCATCACAGGTTGCAGCAGTTGGCTTCTATAGTTCTCTTCCTGCTCAAGCTGAGAAGCATGGATATAATTTGGCATTTTCTTTTTTGTAAGTATCTGTAAATAGCTGAGACAATATTTTTCAAAGAACAAATAAATTTTATTGATTTTAAACTATATATATACACTATATATTTAAAATTATGTGTTTTTCTAATAGTCACAAGTATCACTCTTTTGATCAAAGGTTTGTCTTTCTTATGTTACCCTAAGTGGTTACATTAGTAAAATACATAGAGTATATTTCCTTACTACAAATGACAATAATTTCAAACTTTTCAGAACATATAAATTCAGCACCTGTACAGTATATTCAGCTTCACTTGTGCTAATGACAAAGACTTGGGACTTGTTCATCTGATTTTTTTCAACAGGTTCTTTTTTGAGAAGAATGTTTCAATAACATCTATGCTGCTAATGTTCTAAAATTGCATAGTAAGCCCTCTTGTTCACAAAATTCTCAAACAGTGCTGTGGTTCTAGCACTATGATTTTGAGTTGTATTTGTTAACTGCTTCTTAAGGATTTCTAATAGTTTTCGCTTGACTATATTATCATTTTATGTAATGTAGAGGCATAACATTAATTTTACTTGCAATGTTTTTCAGTAATATCTAATCCTCTCCCCAATCGTTATGAAGCAAAGTCAGCTAGAAACTAGTAATATTCCATTTTAAGAATTGGTAGAAGTACTTTATTATACAACTTCTGTATTAAGGAGAATGAATACAGTAGCTAAAAATTAAAGTTTTTTTGTGCATGAAAAGTGGGACTATTTTTCAGAATTCTGGGAAATGTCAAAGTAATTTTGGCTGTAGTCATATTGCATTTAATGCTATTGAGAATATTGCTAACATTAACAAAAATATTCTGTAATTTTCCTAGTTATTGCCACTGGTGACGAGGGATGTAAAGTTGGCATGCATCCGTGTTTTGAGCACTGCCATTAGACACATCTGATTCTGTATGTCAGAAACAATCTTTCTTTTTGAGACAGCTGAGGACATCTTCAGCTAGGGGTACAGGTTAGGCTTATTATTCCCTATCTGTATCAATTATACATTAGACTATAACACATGTGCCAGAGTAAAAACAACTATAAATGGTCATGTCTTAGACAAATTTTAAACATTTCTGTGATTTTTAAAAGATTATTAGAATATAGTGGTTTGGAATCAAAGGTGACTTTTATTCTATATTACTTAGTTTCCTTTTTTTCTGTGACATTGGCAACATCCATCTTGCAGACTATAAGCTGGTGTTGAGGAAGGGGCTTTGGCAGTAGAAGCAACCAACACGCATGTCTGTTTCCACTGTGGAAAGCATCTGGAAAGCCGTCCCCACTGGTGGTGAGTCAGAGGCACACTCATCATGAGCAATACTAAGGATATTACTCTGTTCAATGGGGCACTGTGGGGATGTTGAAGGATGATGCTTCATTAGCTGAGTGTAAGCAGTCAAGTGAGGCTGGAAAAGAAAGACATGGGGGCTGGGCAGATGCTCAGTGGTTAAACTACAGCTATACTGTGGCACAAGCTTGAGACAGTCCAGGAAAACCAGATGTGGTGATGTGTCTGTAACCACAATACTGGTATTGAATGGGGGCTCACCTGTCAATGAGTCCTCAAAATGCTGAGCCTCTGGTTCACTGAGAGAGAGAGAACCCATTGCAAAAAGTAAGGGGAAGGGACTGGATGTGGCAAAGTGGTTAAAAGCACTGACTGATCTCCTAGAGGACATGGGTTCAATTCCCAGCACCCACATAGCAGCCACCAATTGTCTGTAACTCCAGTCCCAGGGGGTGTCTAATGCCTTCTTTTGCCCCGTATGGACACTGCACATATTGTACACAGACATATGTTCAGGCAAACATTCAGACACATAAAAATAAATGAGGTTGCAAAAATTGAAAATAAATTAGATGAAGGGTGATTGAGGCCTGCTATCAACCTTTAGACCTCCCAAAACAGGTTTTACACACACACACACACACACACACACACACACACACACACACACACACACTGTTATTTCTTAAAAGTTTTTTAATGATGATTTGTCTCAGTATTTTTATTATTAATTTCATTATATTAGTTATATCAATTCTACTGTAAATCTTTGCATTATGTCTTAGGATTTCAATTGATGTGAAGAGACACCATGACCACAACAAAATTTATAAAGAAAAAACATTTAATTTGGGTGGCTTATAGTTTCAGAGTCTAGTTCATTGTGTTCATGGCAGGAATTATGGTGGCTTGCAGGAAGGCATGGTGCTGGAGAAGGAATCGAGAATTCTACATCTTGATCCTCAGGCAACAGGAAGTGAACTGTGACACTGAATATAGCTTGAGCATGGGAGGCCACAAAGCCCACCACCTAGTGACATATTTTCTTCAAGAAGGACACACCTACTCCAACAAGGCCACACCTTTTAATAGTGCCACTCTCCTTGGGGGCCATTTTCTTTCAAATCATGGCTCACTGGAGCTAGATTTTGGGAATATTACAATACAACAAAAGGTAAATTTAACTTATAATTTTGAGTTTATAATGGCTAGAATAATTCCTTTATGGCTATGGTAATAAAGCATCATTATCTTCTTAGATCTTTGTTAATTATTTTCTGTCCCTTCTTCTGTTCCCACAGCTGTCAATGGTAATAATGCTTCATCTGGGATTAGGGATGAGGAGCTATGGTGCAAAAATTTTGACTATACAAGGGCAATGGTTGGTGTAAGATTCACACTCTGAACCACTGGCCTACAAGTCCCTTCTTATCAGTGCTGTATTGAACTGCATGAAGCTTTTATGTACACAAAATTCAATGGCTTCAGTCCTTAAGCCCAGTCTAGACAGTCAAAATGATTGGTTATAGCATCAAAGAGTGTCTAGTCAAAGATTTTGCTGTTGTGAATTCATATAAACATAAATTTTGATATTCTTTCAGCATATTAAGTACAATATTTAGCATTTTATATTTATATAACCATGTACTTGTGTCTCATGAGTTCTTTTTTATATATTATGAAATAAGTCCTTGCTATATAGTCTAGACTTGCTTCAAACTCAGGATCCTCTGCCTCAACCTGTGTGTCACAGAGATTCTGGGCATATACCACCATATTCACCCATACTGAATCCTTTCCTTCTTTACATTTATTCTTGATATAATTTATTCTTGATATAATTTCATCATTTCTATTTTTCATTTTCTCCTTCCAAATCCTCCAATATAACCCTCCTTCTTTTTCAAATTTATGGCCTCTTTTTCCATTAATTGTCATACACACATACACACATTTGTGTACGTCCATATTTTCTGTTGTTGTTTTTTTTTCCTGAAACAAGGTTTCTCTGTGTAGCCCTGGCTGTCCTGGAACTCAAACTGTAGACAAGGCTGGCCTTGAACTCACAGAGATTCACCTGCCTCTGTCTCCAGTGTTCTGGGGATTAAAGGCATGTGTCACCACCAACTGGACTACATCCATGTTCTTCAATACATAAATACCACATGCTCAGTCCATATAGTGTTATTTGCATGTATATTTTCAGGACTGACCATTTGGTTTTAGATGACCAATTGGAGTGCTGTCACTGGAGCAGACTATTTCTCCTATTCTTTGCATTCCTCAGTTGCCTGTAGTTCTTTGTCTAGGCTTGAGGCCTGTGGTCTTTCCTCCTGTCTACTTTAGTATATCTATTGCTGTCCTTATTCAGCTCATGTTTTGGTATTCATGTTGGTGAGATTTTATGTTTATAGCTTCTGACACCAGTAGGACATACCATCTCACAGGAAACTCCATAATTCTGACTCTTACAATCTTTGGGCTCCCTCTTCCACATTGATCTCTGAGTGTTAGGTACTGGAGTTGTTCTGTAGATGTGTCCATTGAAACTGAACTTCACAACTCTGCATTTGATTGGATATACTTTTCTGCAGTGGTCTCTGTTGAAAGAGAAACTTCATTTACTAGTGGTGAGGACTACACTTATCTGTGGATATAATGATAAATATTTAGAATGTAGTTAGGGATTATGCTGGTTTAGTAAAGTGGCACTTGTAGGTTCTCGTCCATAACCTATGACTACAATAGGTCTGGGTAGTTGGCTAGGCTTAGACTATTACGAATGATTTACCTCTTGCTGAGTGGATCTTAAGTCCAGTTAGAGAGTTGTTGGTTACCATCAAGGCATGCATGCCACTACTGAAACCTTAGGGTTATTGTACCATGCTGATTATTTTTGTAGTTCACAGGCATCATAACTGGCTATGGATAGAGCTATTGATTTCATGTCAGTTTCTGGCTGGAATTCTTTAAGTATAAATTTCATGATAAGAGTATTTTGAATGTTGTCCCACTCTTCAAGTAGTAGAACTGGTAGTTGTAACGTGTTTTTTCCTGCCAGCCTAGTTCCAGAGCCGCATCAGTCCCAAATGAACACACAGGACACTATATTAATTATGAAGCTGTTGGCTAATTGCTATGGTTTATAAATGGCTTGCTCTGACTTAATTATTAACCCATAATTACTAACATATATTTTTATAAGGATTTACCTTTCGGAGGATGCCAGACTTGTACCCTTTCTTCCCGGGATCACATGGCGACTCTCCACTCTTGACATTTCCCAGAATCCTCCTCGACTCCTAGTCCCATCTTTCTTGACTCCCTATTGGCTAACAGTGCTTTATTCATCAACCAATAAGAGAGACATAGTTACAGAATGACATCTCCCATCATCTCATTTTTTTTCTGTCAAATTATATATAACAGAACATTTATCAAGTAAGAACTATAGTTACAATAGTCCATTAACGTTTAGTAAGATTTAAGAAAAGTATTTTATCATCTATCCTATCTGTGTGAGTCTAAAATCTTATATGTATCTTATCTTTTATCATAACTAAGGAAAACTATAATTTCAACTATCTGTCTTCAACTCCATCAAAGACCACAGAAGGATAATATATGGACACTAGAATTGACAGAGACACCTAGCTCCCTGGGCAGTCACGTTGGGGCATCCGTCTTCAGCCCATAGGCCAAAGTGTGTCTGGCAGACTCTCAGCAAAGCAGGAAATTTTAACTGCATTGGCAGTCTGTCAGTCGTTTTTCTGTGTCTTGCAGAATGTCTGGCAGACTCTTCCATGAAGCACGAACCCAGTAGGACTGTCCAAGTTCAGCAGTCACTTTCCTATGGGTCCTGCATGTCCAGTTTATACATCAACAATCAAACAGTTCAGGCAAGAGCAGTTTCTTGCCCAAATGGCTAATCTTGCCATGTTGAAAGCAAACTCCATAATGAGTTTCTTCGATGCCCATCTCAGACAGAATTGGTGCTGCCAGGAGCAGACATTTCTCATTGCCAAGAAAAACCCTAAATCATTTTAAATACCATTTTCTGAAGGTCTTTGAAAGGTTTGAAGACTGTCTCAAATATATTTCTGTATATCTAGAAAACCTAACTTACCTAACTATAAGTTCTGACTATTATAAGTAACTATCTATAATCTGTATTTAATTATGCATTATGTTTTAAAAGATCAGTATAGGCACAATACTTAATCAAGAGGAAAAATATACATATCACAAAAATTGACCTTGAATTTGTCTCAATAAATGAAAAACCATACCAATACAAAGTATTCATTTCCATACCATAATCCCCTTTTTCCTTTAAAAAGAGATTGGTTGTGATCATTAACCAATTATAAACAATCCCATTTGAATGTAAACAAAGATGTATAAACAAGATGGGAATTAGGACGTCGCTCATTCCAAACTGCTTCGTGCTGGAAGGGGGCACTGTTCATACCATGGGGATCATGACAAAACTCAGAAACCTGTATAAGTCCATATTTTCGTGGGTCTGTAAGACTGCATATTCTTAGCTGTTTCAATTGTTGGAATATTGGTCCACTGCTTTCGGAGGGTCTTGGTTCATCAAACCACAGAAGCCTGGAAGGAATCCTCAGATTTTCATTTTCTGTAGAAACATAAACAAAAACTCTTTTCCAAAGTAACATATCCTTATACTTAAATTTTGAAGTCAAGGCATTTTCAGAAGATATAAGTTGAATTAATTCAGCAGCATTTATAATCAAGTGTACTTTAGTAGTTGTTCCTTCCTTAGCAATCAAAAAACTGAAAAACATAACAGCGTACAGTATCCAGACTCTCTGTGTATTTTCCATCTTTACGTGGCTTATTTATTTATCTATTATTACTTTATTTCTTTTAGTTTTATTTATTTTTCACTGAAACAGGGTTTCTCTTTGGAAACCTGCCTGCCTCTGCCTCTGCAGCAATTCTTACCGGCGTGCGCCACCACAGCCATCTTCGAT